TATATATATATATATATATATATATATACGGAGAGAGAGAAAGAGATTTATGTTCTTTCCACGTTTTTTTTCTCTCTCTTTTTTTTTTGGTATTGCTTCTATTTAGGGTACATCATTTGATATTCATTACTATAGCATTACTATACATTCCCAAATTGCATTCTCTATTGAAAAGGAGAAAAATAAAAGGTCATCTTCAGATATTGGGGTGGTGTGGAAAGAAATTTAAATAATAATAATAATAAATAAGAAAATAATAACATTACAAATCCTTTCTAGTCTTTATTTTCTATTTCATTTTTTTATTTTATTTTTTTCTTCTTCTTTTTTTTATTTTATTGATTGATATACTTTTTTCTTATTTACACCTATATCAATACTCCAAAGATGAACCTTATTCCTTTCTATAGATCTATCCTGAAAGGCATTCATGCCGCCAAAGACTCTCCACATCATTTGAAAGACATACGTTTTATTTTATCCTATCCATCTATAGAGGATGTTCAGAGTTCATGCAATATCTACAATGTGAAGAGAAAGATGATGAAAAAGAAGAAGGAGAACTCCAATGAGGAAAAGGAATCACAACAACAGGAAACAATGGATCCAAATCATATTGTACGTATTTGTTGTGAAGATCTTCGTCGTGTATTTCTCCCCGATCCATGTATTCCCAAAAGTGCGTTATTAACATCTTCTATTTTATCACCTGCCGCCCAGCGATTTATTCATATGCGTGAACTCTTATGGATTAAAGAGAGATTGGAGGATATTGGACGTTATCATAAGGAAAGAGAAAACGTAGAAGAAGTTGGGGTTCATGCTGAGAAGGATCCCAATGTGTTGGAGTTTTTAGATGATGAGGTCTTCTCACGTGAGAATCGTTCTCCTGGTGGAAATGGAAAACATCTGAGAAGAGAAAATGAAAAGAATGAGGATGGTGATATTCTTGCCCTTCATGAGGATATTATTTCTCCTCCAGATACAGCTAATAATGATAATAATGTTAATAATAATGTTAATAATGATTATGATGATCCTAACAATACAGAGAAGGATTCCAATCTCATGGATGAGAAAATAAATAAATTTTATCGTGAAATTCCCACCATAGGAGACTTACATGGACTTGGAGAACCTGTATTAAGAATACGTACTTCACCTTTCCATTTAACTAAACAATACTTAAATTCCTTTGGATTAAATCCACAGACCTTAACAGAGGTAATTACTTCCACAGAAAAATTAACACAATTCCTTCAACAACACATTCCTCGTCGTGTTACTTGTCAAAATGAAAATATCACACTTACAGCCACTGTTCGCCCTTTTGATATCACACTTGGGAAGTGGTGTGATGGGAAGAGACGAGATCCTTTTGAACAGGCACGTCGTACCTTTATTCTGCAGTTTTCATTAACGCCAAATAATCCTTCTTATGTAGTTGAGATGGTAGATGCCTATTTGTTACGATTGGATGTGAGATCATCACAGCTTATAGAAGAATTCTCTCACAGGGATTCTTCACGATTATTTTGGATGATGAATGAACAGTCTTTAGAGAAGAATCCCACCAACACTACCAGCAGCACTAGTAAAAGTAATGATCTCGAAGAAGTTGCTGGAAGTAAAGATAATAATAATAATAATAATAATAATAATGATAGTGGTATATCAAAAAGATATGAGTTGACGATATCTAACCCAAGTAGTAATCCAACTGTTATGAAGGGTCAACTTTATTATGTTCTTCGAATGAAGGATGATAATGACAAGGACGAAATGGGTTTGCATAAGCTTCCTATTTTTAATATTTCCTTTGGACATCTGCTTTTTTCTAATGATGATTGAAAGGAGTGTGGAATTGTGTAATTACTAAAGTGTTCACGTTATTATTGATCATCATTTATACCACGCAGAGTTATGTTGTCTCCTTTTTTTTTCTCACATTAATTATCGCTTATTAATACCCCTTTTATTTTTCCTCTAAAGAAGAAAAAAAGAAAAAGAAAACACCATCATATAATATTACCTTCTAGATGAAAGGATTTCCTGTGTATTATTATTATTATTATTATTATTATTATTATTATTATTATTATTATTATTATTCGCTTTAAAAATATATAAAGAGCGGTTTATTTTTGATTGTTTTTATTTTCTTCTTTTTGAAACATAAGAAGAAGAAAAAAAAAAAAAGAAATTGTTGAGATGGAACAACATGACTCTTCTATTATACATTTAAATGTTGGTGGACATCACTACTCCACACGAGCAAAGACTCTTCGTGCCCATCCATATTCCGTTCTCGGGCAAATGTTTACAAACCCCATTGCCGTCTCTAAAGATGCCAAAGATAATAGTTACTTTATTGACCGTAATGGATCGGTATTCGGATATATATTAGATTACCTGCGAACAGGTACACTTGTAGTCCCGCGAGATCCCATTACGTATTTAACACTACGCCGTGAAGTTGGATTCTACGGTCTTCCTGTATATGCACAACTCCCGCCTGTTCAACCCGCAGCGTGGGAAATGGCCCCAATGCGATATCGTCATGTGCGTATTACTGTGGAAGAACTGGAGAAACACATTGAATGGGAAGAAGGAACACTTCCGAATGATCTTGAAACCTGTTCACTAGCGGAGATTGTGGATTTCTTTAGTCGACGAGGGTACAAGATTGCATCTGAGTATACACATCGGGGAAGTAAAGGTCTTACTTCAGTTTGGATGAGTAAGAAGGAACGATTCCCTGCCGCAGATGTGGCTATGGAAGTCACTGATACTCCAATGGGTTAAATGACAATATAGATAATTGTAAACGATAGAGGGGGTGGCTCTCTTATTGTTCTTGTTGTTATTATGATTTTATTATTATGGTGACTCCTATTTGGTGGGTGGGGGTTTGTTTGTACGACTCCATTTCTTTTACTTTTACCCATTAAAGTAGGATGATGACCATGATGGAGTATCGTTATCGTTTTTTTTTTATTATTATTTGATTTATTTGTTGTTATTATTTTTTTTTTCTATTTTGGCTGGGTGGTGAGGGTAATAAATGCGTGATTCTACCTCTCTCATGAATGTAGAGCATATATCCGCCTTACAAAGGAATATATATTTTTTTCTCTGTGTATCACTTATTTATAACACTTTCATGTAGTTTTCTCTCTCTCTCTCTCTCTCTCTTTGTGTTTCTTTATTGAATTGGATTTAACTTTTCCCAAAATAATAATAATAATAATAATAATAATAATAATAATAATAATTGTGTATTAAAGAAATGGAAAAAACGGCAGCCTCTACTGCGTGGCAGTTGCCTTCTGTATCTCTGCGTGCCCATCGCTGTGCCTCACTGTTGTGGATTCCACTTTCTCTCTGTTTGCAGTGTGCCTCAGAGCCCCCCGGGAACGATGTAAAGAAGCATCCAAATGATCGAACACCAACTACAAACAACAACAACAATAATAATAATAATAATAATAATAATAATAAAAACACAAACACAAACACGGACACTATCATTACCGGCTCCACCATGACATTAGATGGCGGTGCGTATAAAAACAGTATGAGTGGGTTTGAACTCCGTGTGTTGGAGGCACTTGTGCGGGAGCCCTTTGTGCCGATGCGGTCCCTCCGCGGTGTGTTCCCCGCCGCCTCGGAGTATTACGTCGAGAGCGCCGTGTTGGAGGTCTCCGTGCGGGTCGCCGCCGACACCGCCGCCATCGCCGCCTCGCCGTTTGCAAACATGGAGGCCCACAGAAACACCGCAGCGGTGGTGGTGGTGCTGAACACATATGAATATGAACCCCGCAGTGCCCTCACCGCCGTGAAGTTGGTCTTTCAGCGGTACTTTAAAGAGACGACGTGTCGCTGTCTCGTGCTGGATCCCACCGTAGACGCACAGGCGTCCATGTCTCAACACTTTTTTCTTCCCGCCTACACAAATGCACCGGTGGAAGATGTGGCACGTTATTTATTGCGAGAAATTTCACTTTCTATGGTACAACAAATAAATGCTCATATTGTTTCCCTTAAATCATCTGCAGAGATGACACCGGCAGTGATAAAACAACTTTCAGAGGAGTTTGGAAGTGTAAATGGGGAAAGTGAAGTATTAAAGAAACGTGTATTAGGTTCCCGCGTAGCAAAGAGAAAAGGTGATCTTCTCTTGCAATTGGGAGCATTAGATTCTGCTTTAATTGCTTATCATGAATCTTTATCCGCATCTGATCCTTTATGGTCTTCAGCTATTTTAGAATCTATTGCCGCTGTACGTTATTTACAGAGAACTCCATTAATTGGGGTAAAAATAGAAATTGATAAGTTTTTTTCACTTCTTGAGGGAGAAGATGTCGTTTGGAATGTTGGTATGGCTTCTACATTAAATCAATTTGAAACTGCTGTGGAAACTTTACGTACCGAACAGAGAAAAGCGGCAACTCTTTTACGACAAAGTTTGTCATCCTCACCTTTAGGAAGAAAATTATTTAAAGAAATTGAGGAACCTCTTACATTACATAATGATAATTTCCGTCGACTTCTTGGATCTATTCGTAAACATTTTGTTCCTGATAGTAAAGATTCCCAAGATACTTGTTTGGAGGAAATATGTAGAAACGTCCATACAACATTTAAACAAATATTTCAGTTAAGTTTTTTAGAACTACATCTATACCTTGCTGAGTCATTACAGCAACTTCGTTCTGCTTCTACTCCTGCGACGCAAGGGAATTTACGTGTACGTGAGGCATGTATTCACCTTCAATGTACAGAACTATTTGCTGAAGAAGGAGATAGACAACGTTTTGTAAAATCTTTAACTGTTCTTAGATTAGTAGCGAATGATTTACCAGTAAAAGTACAACGACAAATTCGGGATATTATTCCTTTTCTTTGCTCTTGGTGTGGGTGTGAACGTAAAGCTATTTATTATGTGATGGAAGCGGCTAGTTTAGAAAGAAAAGCAGGTGCTAGTAGTGCTGCTATAGGCCTTTTACTACAAGCCTGTAGGATGACTGGAATTTCATTTCCAAATACAGAGTTTCAATGTGAATCCATTAATGTTGGAGTAAGGTCTAATTATAATTCATGGAGTGGAAATGATGCAAGTAAGAGTTCCACACTTTTAGAATGTCGTCCTCGTAGAGCTCAGGATGTACTTTTATTAATGGAACTTCTCTCTGCTGTAAAAGAAGTGGATGTGGATGATGGGATGAAAACAGCTGTTGCCTCACTTCTTCTTTTTGAATATCATCCCTTTTTACACCGGGAAACTCAACAATCATTAATGGATATCATTGAACACAGTAGTGAACGATTTGAACCTATTCTCTCAACACCACCTCCTTTGTTGGAAAATATGGAAGTATTAGCCCTTCCATCTCATTTGGCACCAAAAACAGTTCCTTTAAGTGGGGCACAGTTTACATTTATAGATACAGGAAGATTAAAAATGACTGTACTGACGTTAAATGGAAAAGTTCTCCCACGAGGACAAGTCGTATGGTCTGTTGGAACAGTTGGTGAAGTTGAACTTTATTTAACCAATCCATTTCGTCGAGATTTACAATTAACATCTATTGCGCTTAGTTGTAGATCTTTAGAAACACTACCAAATGATTTAGAATCTATGGAAGAACATGATGCTGGTCATATTGTTGGTCCTCTCGCTCCTTCAAGTTATGTTGTTACTGGTGTAATACTTCCTTCTTTTTCAAAACGTCGTTTGTGTCTTCAAGTACAACCAAATATACCAGGTTATCTTGTAGTGGATGGAGTGGAGATTCGTTTGGGACAATTACCTCTCTGTTCAACATTTTTTATACCATCAAGAAATCTTACACCTATTCCAGTACTGGAAGAACTTCCACTTGTTTCTTTTACTCTTGGACTTCATGAAGTGGAAATATTTGGTGGACAAAAGATTTGTTTTCCATTACATATAACGAATGCAGGTACAGTAGAGATAAGAAGATTACATTTAACCGTTCATGATGAGAATTGTCAATTAGATGGATGTAGTGGATGTAAACAACGAGTAAGTGCTAGATCCCTTTATGTTTTACTTGAACGTAATTCATTAGATACAATGACTCCTAATTGTCTCTATCCTGGTAAATCTATGCTTACACAAGTCACTTTAGTCGCCCCAGCCGGGAATGATAATGTGGTATTTCAACATGTTGTCTTTCGTGCTACCGTTGAACTTCCACATGAACAACCGGTAGCTCCTGAGAGTGTTCCCAGTGCTGTTCCTGTCTTTGCAGTGATTCCTAGACGTGTGCAAGAAGCCTATCTTCGGGTTTTTCATGTTCCCAGTGTAGCGGTCACTTCTCTCGCCCTCTCACGTAATCGACGGTATGTGGAAATTACTGTAAAAAACAAAAGTCGAGTACACACCATTGAAATTCTATGTAGTCAGATGTCTTTTACAAACATACCAAATGCATTAATTGTGGCAGGTGCGGAGTATCTTATTCCACCTATTGAAATAACAAAAATTCCACCAGAAATGCGACAATTTCAACTTCCATGGGTGGTACGGGAACTTCCAGAGTGTCGTGGTGTCGTTTCTCTAGACTTTTCCATTATTTCAAATGAGGTGGTCTGCACAGAACCATTAGAAGACGCTCTTGTTAACATTACGGTACAGATGGATGAGACTAGTAAAGCCATCACCACAACACTGAAATCGCAGAGCGGAACAGACGCAGCCAATACATTTCCCCTCACACTTCCCGCGATGAAACCTATTCTTCTTCATCTATCTGTGAATGCGCCGTGGAAGCGAATCATTCCACTTCGTGTTCGCCTCCGAATGGAAAATCACATGGATGCGGATGTTCTTAGTGGACCTGCAGACACAACTAGTATGGTTGGTGGAGGAGGTGGTGGTGGTAATAGTAGTAGTAGTGATGATATGGATAATATGCATATTTCTCAGAAGAAACAGTATGAAGAGACTTTTGAGTTTTTAGCCTTCAAAACAGGAGAACATGTATTAACCATAACTCTCTCAGATCCTGATGGGCGTGAAATGGTGTATAATGTGCAGCTCCAGGTGGAACATTTGTAGTGAATGAGGAAGTGCTGTGTGGTGGAAATAGTGAAGAAAAAGAAAAAAGAAAGTAAGTTGTTCTTGTTGGTGGTATTGGTGGGGGAAAAAAAAGGTATGGATGTGTCTCTCTCTCTCTCTCTTTCTGTCTCTCTCTGAAAAATGGGAAGATGGGGAGTACCATCTCTCTGCTTTATATATATATGTTTCTGTTTGCGGTGTTCTTTTTGCTTATTTTTCTTTCTTCTTGGCTGTTGGATTCTGCTTTCTTTTTTTTGTTGCTGCTTGTATTTGGAACAAGGTGTCCCTTTTTCTTTTTTATTTTCATTTCCTCTTATTTTAGCCTTATTTACATGGTTGTTATTATTTTATTATTATTTTTTTGCCTATTACCGTTATAATCTCTGAAAATAATAAATCTCTCTTTATTCCTTCATATTCTCTTTTTCTTTCTTGTTAAATCTTCGCTTTGCCGTCCGTTCTTGTTCTCTCTCTCCTCTCACAACACACACTCCCCCTTCAGGAACGTGTATAGCCGGAGGAAACAGAGAGATAAGATAGGAAAACAAAGAAAGGAAAGCAAAAGAAAATAAAGTCTGGTGATTATTGTTATTGTTTTTTTCTTTTTTGTGGTGGTAGTGGGTAGAGTAAACAAAGAAAAAAAAATTTTAAAAGGGCGTTGGAAGAAGCGCGGAAATTGTTTAAATTATAAACGCGCACACACGCACAAACACAGAGGTATATATATATATACTACAGAGAATAAGAAGAAAAAAAGAAAAGAACAAAAAAACAAAAGTACAGTTAGAGTTTGGATTTTTTTATTTATTCTCATCTCCTGGTGTTTAAATGCCACAACGGAGTATTGTAACCCGCGAGAGACAGAAGCGCCCCCGGCATGTTGCTGGAGATGAAACGAAAGGCGTGGAGTCCACAACGCATAGTGCTGATATCCACTCGGATGAAAATGATTATCACAGTGATGTGAGAAGCTCGCAGGCATATGGTTCTCCTTCATTTGTATCCTCAGCAGCAGCTGAAATACAACATGAACTAAAGAAACAATTTGATGTTTGTCAATTGGTTGAACGCGATGTTACCTCTTTACTTAAACAGAGGGATCAATCAACTGCATCTATGGATGTTATTTCCTCATTTCAGAATATATCTCCTAATGAAATGGTTCGTCTTAATGTTGGTGATACAATTTTCACAGTTCCTCTTACGCTTCTTTTAAGTAAAGATGGAAATGAAAACTACTTTGATGTACTCTTTGGTTTTCGTAAACTCAACATTGGTAATAATGATAGTAACAACAACGAAAACAACGACAACCTTACTAACAATTATCTTCTTCAACCTCCTATTTTAGATGAAACTGGGGCTCTCTTTATTGATAGAGATCCTGCTACTTTCCATCTCATTCTTAACTACCTTAGAGGGTATCGCTTACTTAGCACGTTAAATGAAGATCAATTGTCTATGTTAAAGACAGATGCACGATATTTCCAACTACATGGTTTAATGAAACAACTTGGTGATCAAAACACTGAAAATACCATGAAGTTTCGTCCTGGACCAGGAGTTAATCCTGAACGTAATCGATTTCGTGTTATTTATGGAGTTGCTGTGGTTGGACATCGTTTTCTTATCACTGGACGTCATCGAATTACATTTCAAGTGATGAACAGTGATTATGTAGGTATTGGATTAGTCTCAGAGTCGTGTGTGAGCACCGATCAAGAGTTTCACAAGACCTCTCACTGTTGTGTTTACTACATGACAGGTGTATTTTACTCTAATTTCCCACATCACCGTAAGGAAGATGGATTAGAGGCATTTGAAAAGAATGATTATGTATCTCTTATGGTGGATATGAATAAGCGGGTGGCAGAGTATACACTTAAAAATTCAACAAAAATAATATCTCTTGGAAATGCTCGAAAATTACGTTTTGCAGTAGCAATGAAATTAAGTTCCAGTGTTCGTATTGTTCCAGAGGAGGAGGCGGCACAACTTCCCCTCTTTCAGAGAAAAGCACAGATAGAAGGACAAATACCTGTAAACCGCACATCATCCTTTGCGGATGACCGTGAGGCACTCACACAATTATCACAACCCAGCGGTGCAGGAACTTTGGCTTCAGGCGTTGGTGGAGCACAAGAACAGGCCTCATCTTCACAGCAATTACAACAACAACAACAACAACAACAACAACAAGTGATGACTTCATTGTTTATGCCCCGTTCATTAGAAGGTGGTCTGCGTCCTGCACTTATTGATGGTCTTGGAAGAGCAACACGACCATTTGTGTTGAGCTCTTTCTCTAGTGCTCTTCTACCAGGCGATATCAGCGCTATTGATCCAATTTTACTTGTTTCCAGTACCCGTGAGAGGCGAGATGACGCATGAAATGGAAATTATGTGTGAATATAGGTCTTTGTATATGTGTATGTGTGTGTTGATACTCAGTACCTCTTTATTGAGAGAAAGGGGAAGAGAGAAAAAGAGAGACGTGAATGTGTGTGTGTCTGTGTTTTTTTCTCTCTTTTATGTTTGCTTTGGTAGCTGAGACCAAACTATGAAAACAAGATGTGTTACTATGAATCACATTATTCCTGCAATATCTCTCTTATTGCTTTTTTTTTCCTCCCATTATTCCTAGAATATATATATATATATATATATATATATATATATATATTAGTAGGAACCCAACGTCATGTCTAATACGGCTGCCGGTGCTCGTGCGGGTGCTCCAGATGCCACTTCGGCGACGGCATCTATGCAAGGTACACAAGAACTAACGAGCTTTGTACAGAATTTGCTGCAACACATGCAAGACCGTTTTCAGGAAATGTCAGACTCTATTATTACTCGTATTGATGAAATGGGAAACCGTATTGATGATCTGGAGAAATCCATTTCAGAGCTCATGCAGCAGGCTTGTATGGAAGAAGAAACAAAGGCACCTGCCGCCCAAGCGAAACCCAAGGGGAAAAAGGCATAGTCTGAGTTTTTTTTTTCTTTCTTGTTTTTTCTTCCTTTTGGTGTGTGTGTGTGTGTGTGTGTGAGTGCGTTATTGTCGTTTTTTGTTTTCTTTTTCATTAGTTTTCTCTCTTAATTTATGCCTTTGATGCGCTTATATGATAAGAACACTGGATTAAACTCGATGGATGCGTTAGACACATATACCGTACCACTATGTCTTTGTGGATACTTGCTTCCTCATTTGGGAAGGCGTGAAATGGCAGAAAAAAGCAAGAAAATATTATTTTTAGCGTAAAAGGGGGTGTAGAAGAAGAAAAAACAAAAAAAAACAAATATATGAAAATGAAAATGAACGAGAGAAACATTCCTGTATGGGGAGGAACTGAAAGTGAGAGAACTCCAAAAGAGAAAAAGAGAAACCAACAGAGTATTTGGGTGGTATCCCTTTTTTTCCCATTCTGTTTTTTTGGTAGTAGAGTAAGCGACACACACATACAAGGAAAAAAATAAATAAACAGTTTTCTGTTGTAATTGTACGCATCCCTGATACTTTTCGCCAATATGTACTAAACACATATGTAGTCTTTCTTTTATCTTTTCACTCTTCTTCTTCTTCTTCCTCTTTTTTGCCTCTGCGTGCCAAACCAACACACCATAAGAGAGAGAGACACAAACCCACGGCACCCATATAATATATACGTATATATATACATATAATATATATTTATAGGGTATAGAAGGGAAGAAAAAGAATGGCAACAACGGACTCTAGACGAGAAACCATTTACGATGCGTGTCGCCGCGGTGATGAGACCCGCGTGTTGAATTATGTGAAGAACGGCGGTTGTGTGACGGAGCGCGACGCCAACGGCATGACATTGTTGCACCACGCGGCCTTCTCCGGCGATGTGTGTGTTGTCGCCGCCATTCTCGCCGCGCGGCCGCTGCAGGCCGTTGAGGTGGACGCGGTGGACGGCGGCGGGTGGACGGCACTTCACTACGCGGCGGGGCGGGGGGCGGCGGACGTGGCGGCGTGTCTTCTCGACGACGGCGCGAATGTGAACGCGCGGGACGAACTGCGGCGCACACCGCTGCACGTGGCGGCCGCTGCTGGGCATTTGGAAGTTGTGCGGCGGCTGTTGGCGGCGGGGGCGATGATGGTAACGACGACAGTGGCGGGAACCACCGCGTTGGAGGCGGCGCGGGCAGGGGGATGGGAGGAAGTGGTGCGTTTGCTGGAAGAGAAGAAGAGAGAGAGGGAGTGAGAGTGAGAGTGAGAGTGTGTGGGTACATTGTATGGTGTGGTATTATTATTTTATTTTTTTTCTTCTTTACTTTGTTTTGTTGGTTCTCTCTTCTGTTCTCTGTGGTGAATTCATTGATTTTTCTTATGTACTCTTTTGGGTTTCTCTCTGTGGACACGTTGAAGGGATAATAAGAGGAAGAAGGAGTACAAGTATGGTTCCAGTAGAGGCAGATGATCATAGTGGGTATCAAACACCACCACCACCGCAACCGCAATCGCAGTGTGATGCTGTTGGTGATATTCTCACAATGAAGTCTCTCTCTCCACACGATAAAGTGCGAGAGTTTGTTGACCAGCAGCAACAACAACAACAACATTCTCTCGCAGATACAATGGATGTTCTTCTCTCGGAAGAGTTGCAGGATACACCAGTGTTGACGGAATTAACAGAGCCCGTCAGTGAACAGACGGCCACTACTACGGAACCTTTGGAGGGGTCTCAACTGAAAACGAAAAAAAAGATTAAACCGCAGAAACAACAACAAATGACCCGCAAGAGAAAACAAGGAACTGAAAATGGGGAATGTGATGATAATGATAAAATTACCCTTTTTCGACGATCACAAAAAGCATTACGAAAAGAAGCACGTCATGTTAACATAAAAGAGATTCTTTGTCGTTCTCTTGGTGGTATCCCTGATGCCTCCAGTGATGTCAGCAATCCATTTTCTCCAACAGGTGTATCTCAGACATCTTCTACATGGTCCCCATCTATGGCTACAAGTATCACAAATCATTTTCTTTCCAATGTTCAGCAACAGAAGAAACAAACTTTTGAACGTCTTTTACAAAAAGAAATGACAAATTCACAACTTTCCTTCTCTCGTCTCACTCCAGATGATGGAAATTCCAGTGGTGAGGAAATTGAACTTATTATTGGGGATGAAACAGCCATTATGGAACCACCAAACACGGAAAATGATATTCTTATTATGGAAGACACAGTCACGTCTACTTCTATTGATAATTCCCTTTTTGGCCACACCACAACTTCACGGGGTTTTGTAGAGATGGATGAAGAGGCGGAACAGGCTCAGTCGGAAGCTCTCATGCGCAAACATGAACTCTGGCGTCTGCGGCAGAAACACTTGCGAGAAAAACTACGCACAGAAGAGGCTGCCGTTTCACAGGGAAAAAGTGGAGATCATCATCCGTCCTCACGTATTCCACCATCATCATCATTATCATCTACACCTGCTGTGATCTCTTCATCGTCAATGACAACAACAACAACAACAACAACAACAACAACGGCGGCGGTGCGTGGTTCTACGGCGGATGTTGATGGATCATTTGATGTTCTCATGATGGCCCAGCGCAGTGTGATTCATCGTTCTAACAGTAATAACACACTTAGAATTACTGCTGATCATATGGACATGATTCGTCGCGCAAATAATTTTAATAATACCTCTAGTCAGCGGGTAGTTGTATTTGAGGCAAGAGGCAAAAATAGAGGAAATGCTGACTCTTCTTCTTCTTCTGCGGTTGCTGCTGCTACTGCTGCTGGCCTGAGTTCTGATCATCACACTACCATTTAGATACGAAGGGAACGAAGGAAAGAAAGAAGAACGTGTGATATTGGCGTATGGCCAATCTAAACATATATATATATATATATATATTGAAATATTCGTCACATGAAGACTTGTACTGCTTTTGTTGTTGTTTTTTTTCTATTTTAATTTATATGACTTATCTTCCATCTCTTCAATATTTTTCTGTTTGAACATTCAACTGTGCAAATAGTTATCATAGAATGTGATAGTAATGCACTTATTCATAAGCAAAGATAATTTTTTTTTTTTAAAAAATGAGGAGAAGTGCTACCTTTTTTTTTTTTCTGATGTGTTGGGTTTATTTCTGTACCATCATCTTAGAAATATCATAGATAGAAGTGTTCTGAATAAATTCTCTTTGAATAATGAAAGATTGCTTCTTTCATTTCTCTTGTCACAGTTTGGAGAATAAATCTTGTGTGTTTTTTTTTCTTTTCTTTTTCTTTCTGTGTGAATACTTTTTACTCTTGTACCGCTGCATGTGTAATATGTGTAATCTACTTGAGGTGAGTAATATTCTCTCTGTGTATGTACGTGATTATACTTACTTCTTCTTCTTCTTGTTTCTTATCTATTTGTTGTTTTTTTTTTTACTTTCACTCATAAATCCACGTTATTAACAATGATAACAATTAAAATAGTATATAGGTAGGACTAATGGCAGATTTAGACAATACAAAGATATCCATTATCAACGCCAAAAAAGTGGATCCCAAGCTTCTCGCAGAGATTGGTGATCAATCCGCTGAATTACCAAAATCTATTAAAGCGAAGAATGCAAACTCCAAGCGATGTAATCTGTGTTGTATGTCTATTGGATTTCTTCTCTCTACTGTAATGGTATTGGCAGTCGCAGGCATAGGTACAGGCGTTTCTGTTTTTGCAGAAAAAAGAATAAATTGTACGGTAAATGGTGTTATGCGGCAAGTTGGTTGGATTTCATTACCCGGTATTTTGGTTGGAACGACACTTCATTATTTTCTCTCGGAAGCCATGTGGAGTGGTAGACACAATACATGGGGACAAGCATGGATGAAGGCGATTGCATTTAATAGTCTCACTTGGTCTATTGGTGTTGGGGCGGGAACTCTTTTCTGGCGAAAAGCTCTTCTTCTAACTTCTTCTGGTAGACGATTGTATTATCGTTATCCCATCCCTGTAGAGCCGCTGGACTCGCGTGTACTTCGAAGTCCGGCGGAGTTCTTTACGGGAATGGGATGGTCGTATTGGTTGAGTGGAGTGGTGAGTGGACAGGTTGGATTTTTGAGTTGTGTGGGATTTTGTGTTTGGAATGATCGGCCGTATTTTATGATGAACCCGCATGGGGGTTATTCCACACGATGTATGCCGCTCTGGCGGAGGGAACAACTGGCCAGACAGGCGAATGTTAGTCTTTCTAATTAATGGAGGGGGATGGGAAGAGAGAGAGAGAGAGAGAGCAAAGTAGTTTTTTTATATTTTTTTTTCTTAATCATAGATAAAACAAAAGATTATTATTATTTTTTTTTCATATTTGTGTGTAAGTTTTTTTGTGTTTGTTTTTTGTATTGTTCTTTTTTGGGGTATATATATGTATATATAAGAATTATGTATAATTGGTTTTTTATTATCTCTCTTTTTTTTTATTGTTTTCCCCTTATTTGTTTTCTCCTTTACATCCCTTTATACTTTATTATTATTATTATTTTGGTCGTGACAATACAAAAAGTAAAAATAAAATAAAGAGAGAGAAAGAGAGAAAATAATAATAATAATAATAATAATAACGTTATGAAGGAATTGAGGGTCTACTAGTCAATGACGAAAGATAGAATTAACTTTAGACATTCCATGAAGAATGCACATGGTTCTCTTGAGATGGAAAATGCTGTTGGCGTTACTGAATTACGTACAGCTAATCTTTCACGTTGTAGTATGGATGAGGTAAGAAACGCACGAGTGACAGGATTAATGAAATGGTCTTTTGATGATTTTATTGTGAAAGAAGTTTGGCCTGATGTTATTTTTTCCAAAATGGAATCTAAAGAAAAGTCTAATACTACCGGGGGAATCTCTCGATTTCTACTTCCTGTTATCTCTGAAGGGGTTCCGGATGGGGCCATTGCAACTCTTATTGAAGAGAAATGTCCTATAGGAACTTCTGTGCAATTTGTCTCTCCAGTAGATTTTGGAAGTTGTCAAGAACGTTTTGTATTAGTTTATACTAAATCCCGTAATGCTCTCTCTCATTTTCAACAACAAGAACAACAACAACAACAGAAATTTAATATTTCGGATGGAGTTGTTTATATTGGAAAAGCTATAGATATTTCAACATTACAAGAACCATTATCCCCATTACCTATTCATCTTTTACCAGATCTACGTTACCGTATTGTTTTAAGAGGTATAAAAGGAGCTTTGGCAGATCTTCTTCCACGTTTAGAAAATTTACAATCCAATGGATTTTTAAATTATTCACATTTAGCTCGTCATGGTGTTGGTCTTTTTCGCACTTTTGAATCTGGAAGATTTCTTCTTCATAGAGAATATCCAAGTTTTATTTCTTCTTATATTTTGGGCTTAACAGAACGTTCACCACTTCTGCGTAAAGAAATTAATCCTCTTTTAGAAATCATTGCAAATCCAAAATCTACTCGAGAAGATTGGAAAGGTGTAAAGAAAAGTTTAGAATATGCGTTAAAAAAAGATGAACCTATTGTACGTCGTCCACAGACTGGATTATATTATCCACATCATATTCTTTTACGTGATTTTCTAGAAAGAGCAGCAGATATTTTCCCAGTTCATCATGATTCGGCTCAAGTTATTCGTGAAAGTATTCCTCGTTTAATTATACAAGAAAAACTTAGAAGTGTAGCAGATGTTCATTTTAATGCAATGGCATCCCTTCGCTGGGAACTTTATGGAGACAAAGTTGTTATTGGAGATCTTGTTATTCCTAAAAAAGATGAAGAAAGAGATTTATTAGATATTTTTGAAGCCCCTGCAGATCATGTAAATGGAAATATGACTTCTTTACGTCATCCTGAGTGGCTTTCTATTTGTGGAGAAAAACATTTAAATAATTTAATTGGACGTGTTCGAATTATACAAAGTCGTGAAGAAGCCGAAAAGTTTTCCATTGATGATGTAGTTTTACCTGTATTGGGTTTTGGTGCAGAACGTTTAATTCTCCCTCATCATCGAATGAAAGAGGCATCTGAACGATTATCACATGAATTTCAAATTGAAGGATTATCAGAAATGAAAATTTCTCCTCCAGCCACTTATCGTCGTCTTGTTGTTCGACCAAAGGACCTTAGTTATTGTCTATTTGATGATGAGAGAGGATGGAGTTGGGAAAGTCATCCTGATATTCCCATTCGTCCTCAGCTGTATAAAGATCAGGATGGCATCACACGGCAAATATCACCTTTCTTTCTCGCGAGTGGGAAAAAAAATATGATTGCTCGAAGTGGATTTCGTGGTATTGAAGAGAGAAGTCATTTTCTTAAACCTGCGAGACGGCCTGGAATGACATGTATTGTAGAAATGACATTACCACGTGGTTCAGCTGTGAGTTCTGCCCTTCGTGAAGTACTTCAGTTTGCCACTATTGATCCAGGAGCTATTTTTCATCTTCTTCGATGATTCTGTTGTTTTTTTTTTATTATTATTCTTGTTGTTGTTATTGTTGATATATTTTCACATTTATATATATATATATATATATATACTTTTTTTCTAATCTATTTGAATGGGAAAAGTTAGGAGGCAGGGAGTAGGGGTGGTGGGAGGAGGAGGGGAAATAAATATTTTACTGCGTTTTTTGTTTTATTTCCTTTATTTGATTCCTATTTCTTTATCTTTTTCTATAAATGATGTATTTTTTTTTTTGTTTCAATCTTCTTTTTTTTATTTGGTTTAATTAATTTATCTTGATAAGAAATTTAGGCTTTTGTGAGAGTCTATAGACGCCATCTCTCTCTCTCTCTCTCTTTATATATTTATATATATAATGGTGGTTGTTCGTCTCGCACTACGCCTTCGTTTCAAAAAGGTGCCTGGTGTCCAGGGCGAGCGTGTCTTTCGAGACACCATGACATTTACAGATCCACACGATCACGGCTACGATAGTATTAGTACTATTGTAGAGAAGAAACTTCGATTTATGGATGCCCCTCCTTGTGATTTTACCGTATTTCATACTGACGTAAAAACAGGAGATACTTTGGTAGTTGATGATGCTTATTTATGTGAACTATTGGTTAGTTTAATGGAAGATGCTACTAATAGTGTTAATACTAGTATGAATGGTCATATTCTTGGAATGACATCTTCTGATATGCATACCACAGGAATAATGAAAAATGATGAAGATGATAATGATAATGATGATGATGAGCCAATTGTGGAAAAGGGAGTTTCATTTGACATTGAAGTTGGACGTGAAAAACCAATAGATTTAAATAATAATAATCAAAGTAAAGGAAATATGATTATCCCTTTAACTTCAGATGCTTTACAAGCTCATACCACTGATAGTGTTTATGTACCTATTAGTGATATTACTTGTCCGCCTAAATATCCTAATTTTTTTATTCGTGGAGTTGTAATTGCAATACGTTTTAAAACTCCAAAACCTAATTTGTCGGTATGTGAGATAGACTTTTGTGATTTAGAAAATAAACAACAACAAATTACCTCAATGACTTTTGATGAAGCTGTTCAAAAAGCTATTCGAGAAAATCTTCGAAGCGATCGAAAACAAGTAGTAGAATTACGAAATGTTTATGTTCGCGTTAAAAATGATATAGATAGACGTTTTCAGACAAATTTACATCCTTTTCTTATTAGAATGGATCGTGGATCTAGAATGGAAGTAGTTCAGGTACTTCCAGTACCCATTGCATTAAGATGTGAACAACAGGTTATTACAGTACGAGAAGGTCTTAAACCTGCTGGAATTGTAAATCTTGGTGATCTTGCAGCTTTGCGTGATTCACAAGATGTGAATATGAGTCCTACTATTCCAAAGGTACATTCCACTCCAGGTTCTTCTTCTTCTTCCTCTATTCATAGTGGGGCTAAGCGAACTATGTTTTCCTTTGGTAGTGGAACTTCTTTAGGTAGTGGTGGTGGTGTTCCTATCTCAGGTGTAGTTCCTTCACAATTAGGGGAACAGATTAGACGACAACAATCGCAATTTCTCTCTAAGAGGAATCGAGAAGAACCTATTCATTGGGAACCTGATACTCCTCATATTACACAAAAAGATGTACGAATGCGTGATGCTATTGTTGAACAACAAAAAGTTCATGAAGAAGATAAAAAAGAACGAATTCGTCGTCGAAAAGAAGTAAGTCAAGTTTGTATTATTTGTGGTATAAATTGTGAAGATGAGAGTACCTTATGTGTAGTAAAAGATTTACTAAAGAATAATAATCGTAATATGGGACGATATATTCCGTCAATGAATGAACTTCGTTATGCGTTAAGTGATAGAAGACTTACTAAAAATGGTAAAAAAAGAAATCGTTTAATTTGTTCTACAAATTTTGTAGATCTTCGAACTCGTTCTGTTCATGTTGTACATTGTCGTTGTGTTCACCTTTGTTCGGGATATCAAAAAGGATCTGAACTTGAAGATGTTGTATTTTGTGATTTACCTATGCAAATGTGTAATTTATGTGGTATGCCTGGTGCTAGTGTGTCTTGTTATCATCCAGATTGTAATGAAATGTATCATACTATTTGTGCATTGTTTTCAGATGGTTATGTTAACTTTGGTAAAAAAGATCCATATTTACCTTGTCCAGCGTGTCCAAGGCATACACAGGTGATTGTGGAAACACCTAATGGAATTCCAGTTGTTTGTGGAAAACAAAATACATCAGCATGGTGGGAAGAAGACGAAGTGGTGTTTGACTCTCGGGTCGTAGAGGATACTGACCTACGCGATCCAGATGAGAATGATGGAGCCTAGAATATTTCTTTGAGAAAAGACGTCTTCTCTAGGGATTGAGTGTACCCATTCTCCTTATTCTCATTTCACATTTTTTGTTTTCATGGCTTTTTTTTTCTATCTCCCCTTCATCTGAGAAGAAGTACATATACTGCTTTTAATGGAGTAAGTGTTTTTTTTTTCTTATTTTTCTACTTATTTTTGGGTTTCCATGATAAATTTGTCAGAGTGAATTTGTCTCTTGTTTGTTGTTGTTGTTTATTGTTTTTGCTCTTTTATCTGTTTCTCAAATTTCACTTTCTTTACTCCTTTTTTTTTTTCTTTATTTATTATGTATTATTTCTGATAATAATAATAATAATAATAATAATAATAATAATAATAATAATAATAATAATAATAATAAAATAAAGGGAGTTGAGGTGGTAATAAATGCCTGGAACTCCCGTTACTTTAACACCAGCAACACCACCTCCTCCCAAAGGATGTGAACTACTACGTGAAAATGTTTATGAGTCGGCTCGCCTTGCTGACGTGGACGAAGTCCGCCTGCGACGTAAACCAACCATGACCCATCGTGAAGATCAACTTGTGGCCCCTTTAACTTCTGAAGTTAAAAAATATACTGTGGTTTTAGATTTGGATGAAACAGTGGTTTATGCACGTGAAGGTCCTTTATACGCTCGTGCATATTTAAGAGAATTACTTCGTTCTATAAAGGATGATTTTGAAGTTATTGTTTGGACAGCTGGTGAAAGAGAATATGCCAAAAATATTTTGGAGGAAATTAATGAAGACTGTATCATTCAACATCTCATTTACCGCCATAAAACATGGTTTTCAACAGATGATTATACAAAAGATCTTAAAAAACTGGGTAGGGATATTAATTATGTTATTATTGTAGAAAATACCCCAGATTGTGTTCGAGCAAATCCTAAAAATAGTATTATTGTTGAAGATTTTGAAGTTCCAGGAACTCCAACCCCTTCTCAAGAAAAGGAAATGAATTTACAAGATAGTGAAAGTACGGTTGGTCCGATAACACCCTCTTCTACAGTGATGAAACCAAAGCGTCAATTCACAGATCGTACACTTCTTTTACTTCAAGAAGTCCTCTTAGATTTGTCTGCGAGCGGTGAAAGTGTTCCAGAATTCCTTTCTAGATGCCCACTTCTTACACAACAGGTGATTCTTGGTTCAGATGGCAAGGGTATTCCTACGTATTTTCTCGGTAAGCGTCGTAAGCGCGGAGCGCCACCCAGCACTTCAATGACACCACTACTAAAACGCATCCCCCGTCCAGAAGGTAGAAAAAGAACGGATACGACACCAATGCGCTCTCGTAAAGAAAAAACTGCGTTAGCGGAACAGGACCCACCAGAGGATTAAAAGAAGGCGAACATCATAAAATATAAATAAATAAATAAAAAAACGAGAAAAGAAAAATGACATTGTTGTTTCTTTTTTATGAATGTTGTTATTGTTGCTTTTTCTTTGTTTTACTCTGGTGATGATCCTGTTTCTTGCATTTCTCTCCCCTTTCCTCTGTCCAGGTGTTTTCGCCGTCGTTGTTGTTGTTGTTGTTCTTGCCATTCGTTTTTTGTTTCATTTTTTGATTTGCTATTGCGAGAAAAACACCTCTGTCTGGGAGAAAAATCACCTGCGGTCTACTAATGTTTTTTTCTTTGTGTTTTTTTTTTTCTTAGTTCTCTCTTCTCCAAATGCCCACCCATCATTCTTTTCGCCCGCCACGGTGACGTGACCAAAAAAAACAACTGCGCAGTCCGGGAATCGAACCCGGGCCTCCCGCGTGGCAGGCGAGAATTCTACCACTAGACCAACTGCGCTTGTGATGGGACTGGAATATCTAAAACATTTTCAATAAGTTTTAATTGGCGAAAAGAAAAGGAACATGGGGGTTGGCCGCCCGCCTTGGGTTGTGGGGGTTGTGTGTTCTCTCCTCTCCCTTCTTCGGGTGGGGGATAAAAAAAAGAAAAGGGCAAAACCCGACAACGAGCCTCGAGCATTGCGCGCGTAGACTGGTTGCCGGGTTTCATCCTTTCTTTTCCTCATCCTCACTCTTCTTTTTTCTCTCAAGTTCAAAGTCCCTGAGCATGATATTTCAGGCCTCAAGGTTCAGCGCCTCGGGACGTAAAGTGCCCCTCGAGCCCCACCGCCGAAGCGAAGCATGCCGCTTCCACACAAACCCCGCAGAGGCCTCAGTGGAGTGGTCAAAGTGGTTGTGTTTGTGTCGTGTGTTGCTGTGACGTGCATGTTTTTGGAGTGCATGCCGCGCCGCAACTGTCCTCGGACAGGAATTTCGACCAACGCCGTTGCGTTTGGGGTGCGATCCATTTCAAGATGAGCCTCTAGGCGCGTCTGTAATTGCCCTACGCCGCCACGAACCTTCGCGTTTGGAATGCCCTTCCCCCGAATGCAAGAGTTGAACACTGAGAGAGCTGCGCAT